TTCAATCCAAAATTACTTGACATATGAAGAACCAAGAAAATCACAACTCAACATTGGAAGAGACAATCAATAGACATCAGTGACAAGATAGAGACGGTGGAATTATACAACAGAAAAGATCTCCTTCAAGGTCTTTATAACAATGCTCAAACGAGCAATCATGAATGCTCTTGAAACAAATGTTAAAACAAACATTATTAGCAAAGAGAGGATATAAGGAAGAACTGGACGAAAATTTTAGAACTAAAAATAGAATATTTACAATGAAAAACTTAATGGATTGCTTAACAGCAGAATGGAGGAGACAGAGGAAAGAATCAGTGAACTAGAAGACAGAACAACAGAAATTCCTCAATCTGAAGGGCATGGAAAAAATACTGAGGAAAAGAAAAAAAGAATCAAGAACCTGTGGGACAACAACAAAAGGTTTAACATTTGTGTCGTTGAAGTTCCAGAAGTAGAGAAACAGTGAAATGCAGAAAAGAAATTTGAAGAAATAATGGCTGAAGAGTTCCCAAGCTTGGCAAAAGACAAACCCATATATTCATGAAGCTGAGCAAATGGCAAAAAGGATAAATCCAAAGAAATTCATGCCCAGACGTATCACGACCAAACTGCTGAAAACTAAAGAAAAAGAAAAAATCTTAAAATCAGCAAGAGAAAAATGAGTCATTACTGATAAGGAATCAATGATTCAAATGACTGTGGATTTTTCATCAGAAATCACAGAGGACCAGAGAAAGTGGCACATTTTTAAAGTGCTAAAAGAACTATCAGCCCAGAGTTCTACATACAACAAAAATATTCTTCAGGAATGAAGGTTTAATAAAGACATTCTCAGATGAAGGTAAACTAATAGAATCCCCAGCCAGCAGATCTGCTCTAAAAGAATTGCCAAAGGAAGTTCATCAGATAGAAGGGAAATGGCATAAGAAGGAAACTTGGATTATTGGGAATGAAAAGCAATAGAAATGGTGAATATCTGCATTAATATAACAGAGTATTCTTCCCCGCTTGAGCTTTTAAAAATATGTCTGATGGTTAAAAGTAAAACATATAACATTGTCTGATGGAATTTTCAATGTATATAGATATAATATGACAGCTATTACAAAAAGAGGGGAGGGAAAAGGGATCTATATGGTGGTAAGATTTCTACATTCCAATTCAAAAATCGATTCTAAATATTTATTTACGTATTTATTTTTTGTAGAGACTGGGTCTTGCTATGCAGCCCAGGCTGGTCTTGAACTCCTGGTCTCAAGTGATCCTCCTGCCCTAGCCTCCCAAAGTGCTGGGATTTACAGGTGTGTGCCATCACGCCCAACCTTGAATATTTATTTTGTAATTCCTAGAGCAACCACTAAAAAATTATACAAAGAGATATAGTAAAAATCACAATGGATAAACTACAATGGAATATTGAAAAATGTTCAAATAACCCAAAAGAAGGCAAGAAAAGGGAAACAGAATGAAAAAGAGAGAGAAGCAGAAGACATAATAAAACAGTAGACCTAATTCCAAACATACACAGATGCTCTAACTACACCAATTAAAAGACATATTGGCAGAGTGGAAGAAAAAACATGACCTAACCATATGCTGTCTATAAGAAAAATCACTTTGAATATAATTATTAACATATAGGTAGACTGAAAAATGAAAGGATGGAAAAACATATAACATGCAAACATTAATCAAAAGGAAGCCAGAGTGGCTATATTAATATCAGAGAAAGATTTCAAAGGAAAGGAAATTACCAGGGATGAAGAGGAATCTTGATAAAAGGGTCAATTCACCAAGAAGATATAAAAATCCTAAATGTATATATACCTAATAACAGAGCTTCAAATAAACAAATAAATGGAAAGAAATAATGTGTTCATAGACTGGAAGACTCAATATGGTATAGGGCAACTCTGTCCAAATATATTTATAGATTTAATGCAATATGAATCAAATTCCCAGCAGCCATCTTTTATAGATACAGACAAGCTAATGTTACAATTTACATGGAAGGGCAAAGGAACTAGACTAGCTAAAACAATTTTGGAAAAGAATAAAGTTGGAGGAACCACACTACCTGATTTTAAGACTTACCATAATATAAAGTTACAGTAATCAAGACAGTGTGGTATTGATGAAGAAATAGGCAACATAAATCAAGGGAGCAGAATAGAGAATCCAGAAATAGAGTCACGAAAATATGGCCATTTTTTTTTTTTTTGAGACAGAGTCTCACTCTGTTGCCCTGGCTAGAGTGAGTGCCATGGCGTTAGCCTAGCTCACAGCAACCTCAAACTCCTGGGCTCAAGTGATCCTACTGCCTCAGGCTCCCGAGTAGCTGGGATTACAGGCATGCGCCACCATGCCCGGCTAATTTTTTCTATATATTTTTAGTTGTCCGATTAATTTCTTTCTATTTTTAGTAGAGACGGGGTCTTGCTCTTGCTCAGGCTGGTCTCGAACTCCTGAGCTCAAACAATCCGCCCGCCTCAGCCTCCCAGAGTGCTAGGATTACAGGCGTGAGCCACCGTGCCCGGTCCCATTTGATTTTTGACAAAGGTACAAAAGAAATTCAGTGGAGGAAGCAACTCACCTAACCAGAGCTGGGGACGCTGTGGTGAACAAATCAAAGCCTAGATACAAATGGCCAGATTCAGAGAAACTGGAATTGGTGGGTGCAACTGGGATACTAACTCTGATACATAAAGATGCAACACAATGCACTTATTCAGGATAAAGTTTCTAAATTAATGGGTCATACCAAAAAGGAAGACTTATGTTCCCAAGGATCCTGGTAAGAATTTAATCTTTTTATTGATTGTCATCAAAAAGACTCCAAAGAGAAAACAGATCATCTTCTATTACTTCATGTTAATTTTGGCAGTGGGTCAAAATTAACTTTTGGGAAAAGTTAAAAATCAAATAGTAATTGATGCTTGAGTTTAATCAAAGGGCAGGTCTAAAGTACTGTTAAGCAGTAACATGAACTCTTTGATGAAAAATATGCAGAAAGGAGCAACAGATGATTTCGAAGTGTTTAACAATAATATTATTATTATTCAAGTAACTTTACAAATTAACTTTGAAGAGACTGACAAGGTAACTTCACCACAGTCAGGCTCTATAAAACGCAGATACTACAGTGTACAGCCTTCCAAGTCTTTGCTTTAAACACCAATTCTAAAACTCAGAAAGGGAGGAAAAGAAAGGGCAATAAAAATAAAAATTGAGAACATTTGTAGTCAGAGGCAACACAAGGAATAGAATTAAAAAGAATTCTTACAGACTGTATCTTAACATATATTGCAGGGCACACATACTCAAGTTTGTACTCAAGTTACAAAGCATAACAACATAGTGAGCACCTGTGAACCAACCATGCAACCTAACAGCTAAACAATCCCAAGGATTCGTATCTCTACCTACCCTTATTCCATGCCTCTATCTCACCCTTCCAAACTCCCATCCCCATGAAATAATCACTGCCTTTTCTGTGCCATTGGTAAGAAAGAAATATTGGAAACATTTTCAAGGGTGAAACTGGTGAAAACTCATCTTGAGTAGAAAAACTAATTTATATCGATTTCTTATTCACATAGCATGGATGGTAAGCTGCATCCCTACTGCTATGAAACCTTAGATTGGCATCATCCCTATTAAAAATATGAGTTATAGTACTTTTTTTTTTTTTAAGAGATGGAGTCTCGCTGTGTCACCCAGGCTGGAGTACAGTGGCACAATCGTAGCTTACTGCAGCATCGAACTCCTGGGCTCAAGTGATCCACCACACCTGGCTAATTTTTATTTTATTTTAATTAGTTAATTATTTTGGAGACAGGGTCTCATTCTGTTGCCTGGGCTAGAGTACAGTGGTGTCATCATAGCTCACTGCAACCTCAAACTCCTGGGCTCAAGTGATCCTCCTGCCTCAG